ACACCCACTTATGAGTGAAAACATGCGGTGTTTGGTTCTCTGTTCTTGTGTCAGTTTGCTGAGAATGATAGTTTTCAGCTTCATCCATGTCTCTGCAAAGGACATGAACTCATTCTTTCTTATGGCTGCATAGTATCACCAAGGATATTCTTAAGTGAAACTGGCATTATTTTTTTAATTGTGTAAGTGTGCAGCAGTGAAGACAGCAATGATTACTAGTACAGTTTGGGGCTGCTGCTTTGATTCATGGTGAGACGCCAGAAGTCTTATTGTTGTTTCTGTAGCATCAGTGTGAATAACACAGTGAATAAGGCAAATGATGTCTTAGTTTTATTAACATGGTTAATAAAAATGGGCACCCCCATGCCCAAGGGGTCTAGGAGACACCCCCAGAGATGTGCTGACCACACTTTGAGAATCACTGCTCCAAACATAGTTTACAGATGTTCATCACTGCTTAGAAACTACAAAAAAATATAAATCTCCCAACGCCTCTACTGTCATCTAGATTTAGATGTGATTAGTCATGAAATAGCCTTCAGTCAAAGCTTATAGGCTTATACTGATGAGATGATTATATGTTTCCAATCAAAGCAAATGAGGATTTCTGCTGAATTGATTTACCCTTTGGGAAACACGTTAAGTGGGATTCTCCTGTTTAAACAGAATGACAGTCTAAAAGTCTTAAATGTAACTGCTCTTCCAAATTTCAATTTGAATGGGGTTTAATGCACAGAATTTCATTATAAATTAAAAAATTAAGGAGAGAAAAAACAATATTTTTCATCCAACTTGATCATTTCTTTTCTCATTCAGTGACTATATTTTTTCATTTACAGAATTTCTATTTGGCTGTTTTCCAAATTCATCTGTTCCTTTTCTATGTTGTCTCATTGTTGCTTTGTAGATTCTCTTCTATCCTTCCTATCTTTGAACAGTTTATTTCTTGGGCTGTGAAGTCTGCCATTTACTGTGTCTGCTAACTCTCTGTTATGGCTGTTTCTTCATGTGATTTATAGTATTCTGTGCTATCTTTGGTGGGAATTATTTTCCACAAGAGTCTTGCATTTCCCGAGTTAACCTCTATGAGACTGTTCAGGGTTTGCCTCTGTTCTAGCCCTATGATTTCAGGACCATTTTAAGCTAATTTCTCAGGGTTTCTACATTTCATGGATCATGCCAATTTGGACCCCACAATTTCTAATGGCATCAGCCTGGGGAACTGATTTCTCTTGGGTGACTTTTTCCATCTGTGTTCCTGGCAGGCACTCAGTCTCCCGGCTAGCCCCCAGAGACTAGGTGCCTGCCAGGAACACAGATGGAAAAAGTCTGTATCCCCAAGGTAGAAGATAACTTTATTCTAGATTAGAGAAAAAGAGAAGACTGGACTGGGCTCCTACCCTATTGTGTGCCAATCATATCAGAACATCACATTTGCTCTCTGCACTGGCTCTTTTTCATTTCCCTCTCTCTCAAGAGACTTTGTCTTGACCCTACTTCTACCAACTGCAGTCACCCTCTTTCTCTGCTCTCCTTCACAGTAAAGCTCTTCCAAAGAATCATCTTTATTTGTAGGTTCCAAATTCTCTTCCCATTCTCTCATAAACCACTCTAAACATAATCTTTCCTAAGCATCTTCTAAGGTTACTTCTGTGAAGGTCACCATTAGCCTCTAGGCTAAATCCAGTGGTCAACTCTCTATTCTTATGTTACTCAATCTATCAGAAGTTTGTGGCACAGTTGGTCACTCCATTCTCCTTGATCACTTTCTTCACTTGGCTTTCAGGATTCCATAATCTCTTGGTTTTCTTCTTACTGGCCACTTCTCAGTTTCCTTTGCCGGCTTCTCATTTCCTCCTCAGTCTCGTAAAGATGGAGTACAAAACTCAGGGCTTGGTCCTTGGTCCTTTTCTCTCTTCCATCTATTTCTACTCCCTAACGGAGCTTATTCAGTATTAAAATTCTGCCTTTATTTATTTATTTTTTAGTTGTTATACTGTATTTTTAAATTTGTATTATTTTTATGATTGTATTTTTTATTGATGCTTAATAGATGTATATATTTCCAGGGTACGTGTAATATTTGATACATTACATAATGTATAATAATTAAATGGGGGGATTGGTATATCCATCACCTTACACAATTATCTTTTCTTTATGCTGGGAACATTTGAATAACACTGCCTATATTCTAAAGACTCTCAGAATATTTGACATCTTCAATTATACATCTAAGGGACATCTTAAACTATATATAACTAAATTTTAACTCCTGATGTTTCCCCTAAATAAGCTGCACCCCCACAACCTCCCCATTTCAGTTAATAACCACTTCTTTTTTGACTCCTCTCTTTTTCTCACAACTTACATACAATATCTGTAAAATCGAATGGCTCTACCTTCAAAATTTACTCAGAATCCAAGTACTTCTCATTACCTCCAGTGCTATCACACTGGTAAAAACTGCACCGTATTTCCATTATTATAATGGCCTCCTTAATTCATCTCCTTGTTTTCACACCCTTTTCTTCTTATCATCAATTCTCATAATAACAGCAAGAGCCATCCCTTTACAATGAAAATCAGATCATGTCACTCCTCTGGTCAAAACTCTACAATGACTCCCCGCTTCACTCACAGTAAAAGTTAGTCTTTACCCAGCCAAAAGGTCCTTTGTAATCTCCTTGTCCACCAGTCACCTCTTTGGAGATCCCCCTTGCAAGTCTGCCCCAAACTCATTCCACCCTAGCCACAAGAGACCTTGAGCGGTCCCTCAAACGTGTATCAAGCATGTTCCCATGGCCTGGAACACTTTCTCTCTATTTGCATGGTTAATTCCTCATTTAAGTACTTTGTTCAAATGTCACCTCATCAATGACGCCTGCCCTGACCACCCAAAATGTAGTTCAGATGTCAAGACTGATCCCACACACACCCACATCAAGAAGGTATGAAAGGGTGTACTGCTCACATAATGAGATCTACCAAGAAGATCTGCGCAGGTTCCCAAACAGGTGAGAAAATGTATGGAGAGAGCAAGGAAAAGAGACTGGCTCGGAGTTGCATGGTGGCTGGTGGGTGGCACTGGGGTAAGAGTTCCTGCACGTGGGCCAGGACTTACATGGTTTGAATTTCCCGCTAACACCAAAGGAGGGAACAGCTAGCTGGGCTTGCTTTTTTTTTTTTTTTTTTTTTGAGACGGAGTTTCGCTCTTGTTACCCAGGCTGGAGTGCAATGGTGCGATCTCGGCTCACCGCAACCTCCGCCTCCTGGGTTCAGGCAATTCTCCTGCCTCAGCCTCCTGAGTAGCTGGGATTACAGGCACGCGCCACCATGCCCAGCTAATTTTTTGTAGTTTTAGTGGAGACGGGGTTTCACCACGTTGACCAGGATGGTCTCGATCTCTTGACCTCGTGATCCACCCGCCTCGGCCTCCCAAAGTGCTGGGATTACAGGCGTGAGCCACCGCGCCCGGCCTAGCTGGGCTTTCTTATCTGCTTGCTCTGCTCGGGCGTGGGGCAGAGGAAGGGGAGTGGTCGGGCTTGAAAGCTGTCAGCCATTGAACATCAAAATGGAGTCACACTCTTTATTACAACCACAAAATTTTAAAATGGTAACACCTCCCCCTCCAACCTCTACTCCTTATATTCTCCACAGAACTTGTCATTTTTGTCCACACTCTGTAATTTACTTGTGTTCATAGTTTATTGTCAGCATGTTTATTATCTATTAGAATATAGGGCAAGATTTTGGTCAGTGTTGTTATATATTTTGTCTGGATTCTATATATGAGTATTGGGCCACTGATATGTCCCAGGAGCTTCGAACAGTGCCTAGCATATTGTAGGTGCACAAAATTATTTTTAAATAAATTAATGAATGGTAAAAAATTTGTGTATTATTAAATGAATCATTATTGAATCACCATTAGATGAATCATTATTGAATGTGTCAGAGGACCTCATGATAGAAGTGTTTATCACAAATAGCATGGGGAAATTCTTGAATGTAGATTTCCATATTATTAAATATGAAAAAAATCACTATATTATTTTTACCACTCTACCTGATTGCTTATATATCTGCGAGCATACGGATACATAAATTCTATTCTATGCATATTTAAATCTTTAGTGTCTAGATCAGGGCCTGGCAATGAGACAGTCAACAGATATTGGTTGACTAAATAAATAAATTGATGAACAAACTACATAAAAGAGCTGACAATAACAATTGCAGCACATTGAAATAATCAGCCACCCACAACAGCGTAATAGTTCAGTGCAATATGCTGCAAAAACTGTTACTTTTTCAAAATAGAGTTTGTTTTTAATATTTTAATTCAGTGTTTTAGAAAAAAATCACTCCATAGGTTTTATTTGTAAAAAGGTTTAGTCTTTTTAAAAAGTAAATTAAATGTATAAAAAAATGAAAGCATTGTTAATTTGTTCATTCTACATATGAAATTAAACAACCCAGCTGCGTGCCTTCATAAAATAATTGCTTTGTTGAGAACTGTAATTTTTTATTTTATTTTTTTGAGACAGAGTCTCACTCTTTCACCCAGGCTGGAGTGCGGGAGCGCAATCTAGGCTCATTGCAACATGTGCCTTCCGGACTCAAGTGATTCTCCTGCCTCAGCCTCTCAAGTAGCTGGGATCGCAGGCGCCCCCACAAAGCCTGGTTAATTTTTGTATTTTTAGTAGAGACAGGGTTTCACCATGTTGGCCAGGCTGGTCTCAAACTCCTGACCTCAAGTCATTTGCCCCCCCTTCAGCCTCCCAAAGTGCTAGGATTAAAGGCATAAGCCACCATGGCCAGCCAGAACTACAATTTTAAGTGTAATCATGTATGAAAACTTCCCTGAATAATAAAAAGCAAGTATGCTATGGATGTAGGAATTTCTAAAACTTACATAACACTTAAGTCCCTTTAACAAGCTAGGGTGAAGAAACTCTCTTCCAAGGTATCCCTCCCCTGTGCATAGGCAGACACACCTGTGTGCTGCCCGATGCCTCTGCAGAGCAGCTGCAGCCAGCTGAAGCCTGGCCTCCACCACAATCTCCAGCTCGCCAGCGGAGCACTGAGACAGGGTCTTGAGCCCTGGATGTTCCACCTCCGACAGAAGGATGTTTAGCCTGTCCTCAGCTTCCATTAGTAAAGTTGACTAAGGAAAGGATACCATATATCATGTGAATTCACAAATAATACAAATGATGTCTCCTTCTTCTTTAGCAAATATTTTTCACGTACTGAAAAGTAACAATGAATGGAAGACCAAAAAAGAACTCTGTATTTAATCATCAGAGAAGAAAATTCAGCAAAAAGTGAAAAGGCAACAGAAAATGAAAAGGAAAGTAAAAGCAAGCATAAGCATACATGACAGTGACCCCTTTTTGTAGGCACAGCTGGTGCTTACTAATCACAGTGGTTATGTCCTCTAAAGTTGTTGCACTGATTACTGGATACTGAAGCATTGCTCCTCGGGGAGATGCAGAAAAGTACCTGAGAGCCTCTGGTCACAACATTTTCATTAACTGCTCAATGCATAGCCTTGTTTAATGTGTGCTTATGGCTAAGGATATATAACAGCATATGTCACATATACTGTTAATTCACTAACCTTGAACTCACAGCCAATAGCATTCATATCTGAAGGAAGTTTATCTAACACACATAGTTTCTCCATAAGGGACACCACAGCATTCTTACACTTAGAAATGCTCGACAGCACTTCAGCACTATGCTGGAGAGTCATTGTAAATATTGACAAAAATGCAAAGGGCATGGTAATAAACAGACCATGAAAAGGACACTTGTTTACAGTATGACGGTGGCAACAAAAAGAGCATCTCCTTGTTCATCTCAGCTGGGAATGTGTGCATCGGGCAGCTCAAATTTTTCTATGCTCTGTGTGTGTTCACGGATAGCCAACTAAGTGCCAAGAGTATTGATTTTCAGATTACAGATAAATTTCAGTGGATCTGCAAATTAGCAAACACAGAATCTGTGACTAATGCGGACCAACTGTATTTCAAGTTAAAGTATGGTCACCTAGTTGGTAATGTGAAGATAATGATATTTTACAGTAGACAATCAATAGTAAATAACAACCTGACATGACAGAAGATAAAGAGACCAATCTTTCAAGTGACAGGCCTCTAAAAATGCATTTGTGCACAGTAGTGAATATTATAGAAATATTAGGGCAATTTAGTATAACGTTTAAGAACATGGATTTTGAATCAAAAAGATGTAGTCCTTCTCCTGGATCTGTATTCTGTTGGTTGTATGATGTTAGTCAAATTCTTAGACTGTCTAAGCCTCAGTTTTCTCATGGTTCAGCACAGCAAGATCAAAAATGGTTACCACCTACATCATAAAGTTATAGAAATTAAATAGTCATACAAAAGCTGTTGTTGCCATTGTCATCACTATTATTGGGAAATGATAAACAGGGCATGGAATACTCATATCACACCAAATGAATCATATTTTCTGAAGCACCTTAATCAGGTTGTGAAGTCAAAGCCTGTAACCACTAGACATCCACTTTTCTCATGAGGAGTAAACTCCATCTCTGGCTCCAACCCATTCTTATGCAAGAAGAGGTAACTGCTCTCACAAGAGCAAGCATGACTCTCAAAGTGGGCCCATCCAGGGACTAATACTGCATTTTGGTAACTAGCTTACTATAGTTTGAAAACAGTTTCAAACTTACCTTTAGCATGCTAAGAGTGACCTCATTGTTTGTAAGATGATAAAATGAACCTCCATCATTTTTTGAATATATCTCTATAAAGACACAAAATTTTGGAGGGACCAAGGATATCTATGGTTAGTTTAAATATTAATTCTAGGTTTATTTTATTTTATTTTGAGACATAGTCTGGCTCTGTCACCCAGGCTGGAGTGCAGTGGCAAAATCTCACACTACAACCTTCGCCTCTTGGGCTCAAGCCTTCTCACCTCAGCCTCCCGAGTAGCTAGGACTATGGGTACACACCAACACACCCAGCTAATTTTTGAATTTTTTGTAAAGATGGATTTTTTGTAAAGATGTTGCCCAGGCTACTCTTGAACTCCTGAGCTCAAGTGATCCAGCTGCCTCAGTCTCCCAAAGTGCTGGGATTATACACCCCAAAGTGACCTTCTGGTCTTCCCTTTCAAATCTTTTTGACTCCACCTTCAAGGCATATCCAGAATCTGGCTACTTCTCACCACCTCCACTGCTACTACTCTTGTTGAAGCCATCATAAGCTCTAACTTGAATAATTCAATAGCCTTCTAAAAGGAAATATGATTATACTCCTATAATTATTCACCCTTTTAGTTCCCCTAACCCCATAGCCTAACCTAGTTTCAATACAGAAACCAGAGTTAGGCTTTAGAAACTTTTAGCTCTTCCTCTTAAAACTTTTCCAATGGTGTTCCAACTCACTCAGAATAAAAGACAAATCTTTTTATTATGACCTTCAAAGCCTTCCATAATCACTCTGTTATCTCCTTGACAGCATCTCCTAGAACTTTCACCTTTGTTCACTCTGCTTCAGCCACACTGGGCTCCAGCTGTTCCTCAAGCATGCCAGATGCACACCCATCTCAGGGTCTCAGTATTTGTTCCCTTTACCTAGAATACGCTTCCTCAGAAACTCACATCTCATTCCCCTTCCTCTTTTAGACATGTGCTCAAATGTCATCTGTTTAGTAAGACTCTTCCTGACAATGCTATTTCAAATTACACCCACTCCTGCACTCCCTACCCCCTTTCCTGCTTTCCAAAGCACTTGTTACCATGTAACCCACAATACCTTTATTCATTTGATTTATTGTATTTTTCTATCATAACAAGTTTTAAGATAGTATTTTTGTGTTTATTTTCACTGTTAGATTCTCAATTCTCAAATAACATAGGAGCTAACAAATATTTTTCAGTTATAAAATCAAATTAACTATTTTATTAACACAGGAAGCCAGGAAAATCAGTAGTACAAAACAGAGCATTAAGAATCATATCCTATTTCACTTAACATAATGTCCTCCAGTTCTATCTATGTTGCTACAAATGACAGGAGTTCATTCTTTTTTATGGCTGAATAATATTCCATTGTGTTATATACCATATTTTCTTTATCCATTAATCCATTGCTGGACACTTAGGTTCCATACCTTGGCTATTGTTAGCACCCCTGCCCAGGGCTCACTAAAATTATTCAAACTAAAATTATTCAGATACTAAGCCTGTTCACCCTGCTTTTACTCAATCCACTTGCATAGCAACCACCATAAAAGTTCTTGCTCATGTTTTCCTCCCACTGTCCTCTGCCTCCTGAGACACAGCCTAGCTTCCCTGAGTGCCCTTCTCCCACCGCTGTGTTATGCGCCCTTCCTCTTGGAAACTGTAACTGTTTTCTCAATGGCAGTCATCTGATCTGTTGGTCTCATCATACCTGAATAATGAAACTTACATTTTAAATTAGAGGCCTCAGTATTACTCTGTTATCAAAACTAGACAAAGACACTACAAGAAAACTACAGACAAATGTCTCTTGAGTATGAATGCAACCATCTTCAACAAAATGCTAGCAAACAGAATCTAACAGGTAAAAAGAATTACAGGGTGAGCGCAGTGGCTCACACCTGTAATCCCAGCACTTTGGGAGGCAGAGGCAGGCGGATCACTTGAGGTCAGGAGTTCGAGACTAGCCTGGCCAACATGGTGAAACACTGTCTCTACTGAAAATGCAAAAAATTAGCTGGGCATGGTGGCAGGTGCCTGTTGTCCCAGCAACTTGGGAGGCTGATGCAGGGGAATCACTAGAACCCAGAGGCAGAGGTTGCAGTGAGCCAAGCTCCTAAACCCACTCCATCCCCACATCCTAACCCTTTGGTCAAGTTCACCAATGGCCTGCACTTGGCTAAATCCAAGCTCACACCACTGCACTCCAGACTGGAAGAGAGAATGAAACTCCGTCTACAAAAAAATTATAAACCATGATTAAGTGGCACTTATCCCAAGAATGTAAGATTGGTTAAATAACCAAAAATCAATTAATGTAATACACCATATCAATAGAATAAAAAGCAAGAACCATATAATCACCCAATAGATGCAGATAGAGCATTTAATAAAATTCAACACCTTTTCATGATAAAAATCACTTGACAAACTAATAGAAGAGAAATTGCTCAACCTGATAAAGGATATCTATGGAAAAACCCACAGTTAAAACATCATGCTGAATAGTGAAAATCACTATTTTTAAGGCAACATCTAATACAATTGGAAATTACCCTATGGCCCATAAATCCCATCCATGGGGTATATGCCCCACAGAAAGATACGCTATGCCATGTGGGTATATAGCACTGCAGCAATATTCCTTGGAAATGAAGTGCATGTGCAGCAATGGAGGTACACATTCCTTCTTATTCAGTCTTTCCTCTATTGCTGCACTGCACATGCACTTCATTTCCAAGGAACATTCATGGGGGATGTTCATGGCCTAGAATACTATACAGTCAATACAGTGGACCAAAGCAAAGCAGTAGACTTGGAGTGATTTCAGTGAAGTTTTTCTGCATGGGAAATACCAGATGCAGAAAAATGTGAATGTACCATTTTGTAAATGGTATATTTACAAAATACATGATAGAATTTATAATTTATTTACAAAATGGTATATTTACAAATATAACAAATTATAAATTTATTATAAATTTGTAATCATGTAAATAAATTATAAGTTCTATTATGTATGTGTAAATATGATAGTGCATTATATATATGATAGTGCATTATATATAAAGTGTATGAATATGGATATATATATAAACAGGGATATATATATATATATGTGCATACACCTAGACATAGTACATAAGCGTGTCATTATATGAGCACAGAGAAAACTGTGGAGGAATATATACTAGATCATTTATATAGATTAGTGGGGGCAGTGACAGTAGTTAGGGATAGGAAGGAGAAAGGGAAATAAGCAAAAATTAAAACAATTACCGTTCAAGTTTGGTAGGTTTGGTTTGCTCCTGTCAGTAATTACTGTTTTCAGTTTATTTTCTGGGACACAATTTATTGTTGCAGCCACACTTAGGAAAAAGTATGCTTTAACAAAATAAAACTTATTTGAGAGATGCGGTTGGTCAATTGTAATCAGAATGGCAGGCAAGCCTTTATTTCTTAATTCATCAATTGCCTAAAACATGGAAAAAAGGAAAAAGAGCAAATTAGAGAAATATTTTTTTCAGGTATTATTAGCTTCATTGTTTTGCAGTCCATATTTGGTGTTGGATGAAGGGATATAGGGCTGGGCATGGGATATCGTAAATGGGAGGTCTATTGAGAGAGACATGTAACATCAGAACCATCTGAACAGTTCAACAATGCTTCTGTAGTTCCCCACCAATTTCTGACCTGTGCCTCATGAAGCCAGCTCTGCCATCGTGGCAGAGTAAACCTGGTGCTCAGAGTGAAGGATGGGATACTTTAACAAAACAGACAAACTGAAAGCTCATTAGCCACGCCACACACATCGGCCACTCTCCTATAATGTGAGTAATCAGAGCTACTACGATAGGAAAAGGAAAAGATGGGCAGACAAGCAATCTCCCTACCCTGCTTAGAGTACACGGTCAATCATTAGAACCCCTTCTTTTTTTTTTTTCCCATTTATTTATTTTATTGCATTTTAGGTTTTGGGGTACATGTGAAGAACATGCAAAACTGTTGCATAGGAACACACGTGGCAGTGTGATTTGCTACACCCTCAACCCCCTGGGCCCTCACCTAAGCAAACGCACTTCCTTAGCAAAATCACAGCTCCAACTCTGAAATCCAACTCTGTGCCCTCTTAGGGCCTGCATCCCTGGAGAAAATCAGGCAAACTATACAAATAGTTCCATGTGAATTACCCAACCAAACCTCAGCACTGCCTGATAATATTTTGATATTTTGCCAGTCCGTTCACTCTCTCTCTTTCTTAAACAACCATTTTACATCTTTCTTTCCTCTAAATTCTAACCCTTCTTTCCCTGTTCTCTTTCCAGTCAGTGACCTTGCTTCCTCCACTTCACTAGGAAAAAACTTAAGCAGTCAGAGTAGAGCATGCTTCTCCATCTGTTTCACACACCTGAGTATCTGCCCCCCACAGCTCTACCTTCCTTTCTGCTACCCAAGGCTGGCATCACCATTTAGGCCATCATTCCCTCCTCCAATGGCCTACTCAGCCATTCTTTCCTAAATCATAAATATGCCACTCTCTACAGAAACATTCCAATCAGCACACAGCCATGCTTCATCTCCTCAATTTTAACAATCCAAAAACTCTCTATATCCCAACTTCCCTATCCAGCCACTACCCTGTTCTTCGCTCCCCTTCACAGCAACACTCTGAAAGAATTCTAGTTTCTCTCCTTTCATTTGCTCCTAAACCCACTGCATCCCTACATTCAAACCCTTTGGTCAAGTTCACTGATGGCCTGCACTTGACTAAATCCAATGTTCAACTATCAGTCTTCTGATCTGATGTCATTATTTTATATGCCAATTAAACTATCACATGCGATCAACTGTAAATTGCATTCTGATTTCAGAGACATTAAATGTAAAAAAAAAAAAATGCATGTTTAAGACTCAGTGAATTATTGTACTTGATTCATCATCAAAATTTGATACTACTGATCACTCACTCTTTCTGAACATGCTTTCTCCTCTTGGCTTTCAGGCCACCACACTCCCTTGGTTTCCTTCTTACCCTACTGGCCTCTCCTTTTCTGTCTTCTTTAGCAAAATCGCAGCTCCTACTGAACCAACTTGCTGGTTCCTCTTCTTCTGCTATACCTCTTAATATTTGACTGTCCTGGAACCCAGTGCTCTTCTTCCTCCTCACTCCTTCCCCTTAGGTGATCTTAATCAGGCTCATGGTTTTAGCTTCATCTGAAGGCTGATGAAATCACAGCTTCTGTGTAACTCCAACCTCTCTTCTGAACTCCAAATTCACAGAATCAATTTCTGACTCAACTCTTCCACTTGGATGCCTAACAGATATCTCAAACTCAACATCTCTCAACTCATTATCTCCAGCACACACACAGACACACAAAACGTAGGCTGTTTGAGGTTTGGGAATTTGTATTGTGGTTGACTGAGATATTTGATTGACGGCATCAGAACAGTACCTGGCACATGGTGGGCTCTAGGGTTTGGGAAAAGTAATCCCTTTATGGCATAAATCCATCAGGACATACTTCTGCTCAAAAGTCTCCAGTGGCTCTTCATTTTGCTCAGATAACAGCCTAGTTACAATGGCCCTACAACCCCTTCACAATTTGACCTCTCTAACCTTATCTCCTACTGCTTCCCATCATTCACCCAGCTCCAGCCACACTGGCTTAGATGTCCCTCGCCAAGCTAGGCAATCTTGACTCAGGGCCTTTGCACTTACCTTTCCCTCTTTTTAGATTGTTCCTTTTCCAGATTTCATATGACTTGCACCTTTAGCTGTTTCAGGTCTATTCACAAAAGCCACTTCAGTGAAGACTAACCTGATTACCCCATTTAAAATTACCATCTCCAACATAGCCCCATGCTCCCAATTCACTTTATGCATAGTTCCATTTATTTTCTCCCATAGCATGGTTCTCCTTCTAATGCACTATATAACTTACATATTATTATGTATTTACTTTTATATCATAGTTATTACTAGTCTTGCCCATTAAAATACAAGCTCCATAAGAGCTTAGAGTTTGTCTGTATTGTTGATTGACTAATGTTGATTGACAGCATCAGAACTAATGTTGATTGGAAGCCTATTGCTTTGCACACAATAGACTCTTGATTTTATTTGTAGAATTAATACATAAGGCAGATGTTGGGGCTATCTATTCTGGGGGGAAAAAAAAGAAAAACTATTTGCCTTATGTGAACAAAAAAAAATTCCATTGTTTGAAAGAGCTTGAAGGATGAAACTTCAGATTGGTTGGGAGAAGGTTTCTCTTTTCTTTTCTCTCCACAGCAAACAGTGATTTAATGAGCCTTGACAATTACACACAAACACTTGAGGATCAAAAGAAGATTAATTAGTAATACTATTTAACACTCCCTTCTTTCCCTTTATGTAAAAAAAAAAAAACCATAAAGCATAATCTGAAGAGTCTTAAGCAGACCAACGGTACTGTTTTAACTAATTAGCTAATAGAAACTGAGTGTCCATTATACCATTAGTCTCTTTTTGCATAAGAAGAAATCATCAGACAGACATTCTTTTTATACCAAAAACCACTCCCTAAGGAAGTATTTTAGGATGCCCCGGCATTTAAGATGGGAAAGAAATAAATATTCTTATACATCCCAAGGTCTTGGAACACTAAAATGAAATATGAATATGTATTTCTATCTTCCTAATACCAAGTTCAGGCAAATTGCTTATAAATTAAAACAAATTTTTAGGAAAAAGAAAAAAACAATGAATCATCTGAAGGATAATTAAAAGTGAACTCTGTGGAATAAAATGCACAGTAATAGAAAAGTAATAAGATTACATTTAATAAAAGTTAGATATATTCCTATTAAAATTGTGGAAGACAAAAATAAAGCAATTTTGAGGAAATATCTCTCAAAATTATTTAATTAAAAATATATATCTTGCTTAATGCTGTTCCTAGCAGTTAAAAAAATAAAAAAAAAAAGCATGTGTATCTATCTGCATTAACTGCCAGCTGGTTCTATGAACTCCTTCTCCATCCATAGCCCCCCATTAACAATGGTTGTGCCACAGCTCTTCTGCTCTTACATTTTCCAGGAGAGACAGGCTGTCAATACCCCTAAGGCTTTTTTTCTCCCCATTTATTTATTTTATTGCATTTTAGGTTTTGGGGTACATGTGAAGAACATGCAAAATTGTTGCATAGGTACACACGTGGCAGTGTGATTTGCTGCCTTCCTCCCCATCACCTACATCTGGCATTTCTCCCCTTGCTATCTCTCCCCAGCTCCCCACCCTCCACTGTCCCTCCCCTATTTCCCCCCAACTGACCCAAGTGTGTAGTGCTCCCCTCCCTGTGTCCGTGTGTTCTCATTGTTCAACACCCGCCTATGAGTGAGAACATGCGGTGTTTGATCTTCTGCTCTTCTGTCAGTTTGCTGAGAATGATGGTTTCCAGGTTCATCCATGTCCCTACAAAGGACCCAAACTCATCGTTTTTGATGGCTGCGTAATATTCCATGGGATATATGTGCCACATTTTCCCTATCCAGTCTATCGTTGATGGGCATTTGGGTTGGTTCCAGGTCTTTGCTATTGTAAACAGTGCTGCAATGAACATTCGTGTGCACGTGTCCTTACAGTAGAACGATTTGTAATCCTTTGGATATATACCCAGTAATGGGATTGCTGGGTCAAATGGAATTTCTATTTCTAGGTCTTTGACGAATCGCCACACTGTCTTCCACAATGGTTGAACTAATTTACACTCCCACCAACAGTGCAAAAGTGTTCCTATTTCTCCACATCCTCTCCAGCATCTGTTGTCTCCAGATTTTGTAATGATCGCCATTCTAACTGGTGTGAGATGGTATCTCAATGTTGTTTTGATTTGCATTTCTCTGATGAACAGTGATGATGAGCATTTTTTCATATGTTTGTTGGCCTCATGTATGTCTTCTTTTGTAAAGTGTCTGTTCATATCCTTTGCCCACTTTTGAATGGGCTTGTTTGTTTTTTTCTTGTAAATCTGTTTTAGTTCTTTGTAAATTCTGGATATCAGCCCTTTGTCAGATGGGTAAACAGCAAAAATTTTTTCCCATTCTGTTGGTTGCCGATTCACTCTAATGACTGTTTCTTTTGCTGTGCAGAAGCTGTGGAGTTTGATTAGGTCCCATTTGTCTATTTTGGCTTTTGTTGTCAATGCTTTTGGTGTTTTGGTCATGAAGTCCTTGCCTACACCTATGTCCTGAATGGTTTTGCCTAGATTTTCTTCTAGGGTTTTTATGGTGTTAGGTCTTATGTTTAAGTCTTTAATCCATCTGGAGTTAATTTTAGTGTAAGGTGTCAGGAAGGGGTCCAGTTTCTGCTTTCTGCACATGGCTAGCCAGTTTTCCCAACGCCATTTATTGAACAGAGAATCCTTTCCCCAATGCTTGTCTTTGTCTGGTTTGTCAAAGATCAGATGGTTGTAGATATGTTGCGTTGCCTCT